AAACTTTATTGCTCCATCTGTTGCCGGCAACGCCTAATGTCAATTTTTTCGTTAAAACACTTTTCACCTACCTTCATTTCTAATAATTTTCATTTATTCTTATCCAGTTCAAATATTCGACCTGCTACCTCAGGAGGTAAACACAAAACAAACTACTGATTTCCTTATGAAAAGAAGTGGCTAAAACTTAGATTCAGAAAAAAAAGCCTTCCTGACCGAACAAAATTTGCTAAAACACTTAACGAGAAAAATAATTCTTTTCACAACGAACATTTTGACAATTAACTTCAAAGCTTCTACATGTAAATAAAAAAATAACAAAAAATGAACAAAATTAAAGCTAATTTAAAAAACTTTTATTAATGTAAGGGGAAAACACTCTGAATCAAAAGTGAACTTTTATTATGATGCAGAGGACTACCGCTACACCAGAATGTTAAATGTAAACTACATACCGCTAGGTCCACAAGCTGCAACTTGCCCTGAGTCAAATGATCTCGTCCACCAATCTTTTCGCTACGTTCTATTGTCATTATAAAAATTGCGTGAGATCGAGAGCTTTCAATATTCATGCTGGTGGCACCTACCGTTCTAAATTATTTCAAAACTTAACAGTAGGTCTGTCTAAAAATCAAATATCTTCCTCCAGTAGCGAGAAGCATAAAAAAACTGCCGAGCAACGATTAGTTAAAGTAAGCAGCACAGAAGAAAAAGGCGAAATTGGGTAAGAACCAGGAAACTAATGAAAGCTCTAAAAAAGCTCGTTTTTCCTACTAATTTCGTCTTATTCAGTTAATTCTAAGGACACTAATGTAAAATGTAACAGAAAATGCAAAACAAATGAAAAAAGTAATACAATCAGTACGACAAGCTGATAGAGGATTATTCGTCAAATTTTCCAAAAAAAGCACTTTTACTCGCCTGTTATTATTTCCAAAACGCATTATCCTTTCCATGTGGCCTGCGCTTGAAACTGTCACGCTTGAGAGATCTTTCACATAAACTCCCACTCCGGGACGTTCCTGCACAAGAAAAAACCAAGCCTTCAATAGCGGCTGTGAAAAAAAGTGAAGAGCGAGCAAATGAAATTGAAGCAACAGAAGTGTCATCAAAACTTTGACCTGTGAGCCCAAATTTATAATCAGTTACAAAGTAAAAAGACTAACTTTGATTTCTAAACTATGTGACGGATTTTTCACCAAAAGGTCTCTGATCTCCTCATTGTAAATTTCCAAATACGAAACGCGAACCAAGAAAGTCTTTCCCTGCTCACACTTTGCAATATGGTCGAAAACGTGAGCAAAAGAATTGGGGATAATCCCAGAAAGTTCAGGCGGATCTGGCTTCCCAGTCATTGTATACGTCTTACCAGATCCCGTTTGACCGTAAGCCAAAATTGTTCCTGATGATTAAAATTAGTGATTCAGAAAGTCTTAGTCAGTGTTATTCATAAAATTCAAAGATGTTTTTCTGCTATATGCAGGCGACCTTACCATTGTAACCCTGAAGAACATTTTCAACAATTGGGCGAGCGGCGATGTTGTACACGTTTAGCTGATCTACATTTTCGTCAAACACAGCATCAAAAGTAAAAACCCGATAGGGTTCCTGAAAAATGAGCAAAGACTACTCAAAGATACTGAAATCATAGAAGCAATCATTAAAATAATTTATGAAAATGGGGGATAAAAACTACTGACTTGAGGGGCAGACGGGTTCGCAATCGAAATAGCATTTTTCAAGCCATCGATATTTACCACACTCGACCTACCCTGCTGTTGTTCCTGCTCACTTAAAGGGCGACATCTTACAACAACTCGAACATTATCCGCCTCCCCCTCTGGCTTCATGCCTAACCAAATAATCGTAATCAAAATGTTGAAAAGATTGAAAATTTTAAAACGACTGTAATAAAATAAAACAAAAGTTTTTCAAGGAAGAAGTTTTAATCATTCAAAAAACAACATAAAAAAGAACTAATAAAAGTTATCTCGGTTCAAATATTCAAACTGTCCGAAAACAGTAACCTTCTAAATGTGAACCAAAGTCATATCACGAAGCTTTATTCAAATTAACAAAAATCTATCAAATTTGGTAGGCAATATACAAAACGCATATGGAATCAAAATGTGGCTTGTGCGCCTTCAAATTCGACGTTAGATCTGGAATTATAAATAACAAAAAAGAAAGAATGAAAATGGGGAAGGAGTCGCATAGGCAGCGAAATTCAATTATGTAGATCAAAAAATAACACTGGAATGACTGATGAGAGACAATATGAATAGAGAAGCAAATAATATTAAAATTCACAACAAATGACAGAACATCTATAACCTGACTCTCTTGTGAAATTTTCAAGAGTTACAAAAACAGCTTTACAGTAACTGAAAAAAAGCTTAAAAACTAATTTTCCTAGATCCAAAAGCTAATCTTATTGCTCTAAAGTATGCATTTCGCAGTAACTTGAAGTGCTTGTTTGCAACTCTTTTGTAATTAAAATGGGCAGGTTTGAGTTTGAACAGAAAAAATATTTAAAAAACAGTCAGAAAAAACGTTTTTGAAACCCCGAATAACTGCTTTTACTAAAAAGTAAAACTAGGCCCTCACTAAAATAACAATTTTTACAAGACAAAGAGTAAGCTCGATTCATATAACACAAATAATCAATTAGTCGCTATCTTGCAAGCTTAAATCTTAAATAACAGTAATTAGCGTAAAACCAATGAACATTTTTAATGCAAAAAAATTATTATAAATTGCTGCAAAACCAGCACGATTTACAGCTCTGCCAACAATTAAGGTGAGTCGTTAACTGCACGTGTAACAAATTCCAGAAGTCGACGTGCATACTGAATAGTAAAAACAAATTAACAGCTTCCCAGAGGTAAGCAATTTTATAAAATGAATGCTAAGAATTTTAAGTTTCCTTTTAATAGCCAGATACTTCTCAGTAGCGATAAGCGTATAAGTGATCAGAAAAAAACCGTAACATACCTGGTCAGGCTTAACGGTAGAAATGTTTTCAGCCTCAGAACCGTATTTAACAGCTTTCGCAGCTGATGCTGTTCGCTTTTTCACCCCGTAGTAAGTGAGTATATCGACAAGACCAATAAAATAAATAAGCCTTTTCGAACTTGCTAAAAAGAATTTTAAAATATGCGTCAAAAGTCTATGCTAAAAAAGGCTCTCGTAGGTAACCGAATATAAATTACCTCTTAAACTTTCTTTTACAAAAGCCAATTAAAGTAAAAAACGCAAAAAAATTTTACAAAACATACCAGCATTGCTCGGAATTGCAAAAAATTCATCATCTAAATTAGGACCACCAGGTGGAATTGGAGCAAATGCACCGGTAGAAGGAACTGGAGATTCTGGAGGAGTAGGTCCCAACTCATCAGCAGATGCTTCTCCTTCGGACTGTTCAATTTGTTGTTGACTGGTCGCAACTTCAGCTGCTTCTTTTTCGGCACGCTCAATATCATGAATACCTAAAGATATGACATCAAAAAACTAAAAAAAAACTTATCCAAAAAGAAAAAAAAAAAACACACCGACTAGTAAAGAATAATCCATCAGGCGAAGTTTGGCCAAAAATTCAGTATCAGCATTCAACATATCAATTAACTTTTGCCGAGCATCCTCTGGTAGCAGTAGTTTATAATCGTCTTCCAA